CTAATTAACAAACAATTAAATAATTTTTCTGACGTTTGTAACGAGCTGCCCTCTATCGATTCCTAGTTGTGATAATCTTGTACAGGTAGACACATACAAATGCAGATCAGCTTTTAAAACCAAACTAATACATGCATTGTCCTTACCATCAGTATGTACAGTAGACACGTAAGTCCAGTTACATTTGAGTAGAATGTCAACCAATGCTTGAGCCTGGTAGGAATCAGGGGGAACCACTCGCAGGAAGTACCTATAGTGGTTCTTATCGCTAAGGTCATGGCTGGTGGCCGAGTAGCCTATCTGAGGTATGTTGAAAATCTGCAACAGGTTTTGAACCTAGGAACAAAGAAGCAGAAGGTTGGTTTAAGTGTAGTACACCTTTCATATTACTGTCCAGTCTGATGACTAGCATCTAGTTTGTTATGCAATTTCTATGTCAGGACACAAATCGAGGGATATTCACATTTTAGACTAATTAATAATACTGTCATACTTACCTGGTAAAATTCCTTACGTCCTTTTTCAGGACGTAATTTTTTGTTATTTGAAGCCCCACTCTGGCTTTTGCCAGGGGCCGCAATATAGGCAGGCCATAAAAATGGCCAAATGTCTGAACGCGGTTTCTGGGACCTCTTCACGGGTGATCCTCATCCACACGGTGGCACGTTGTGTCATCGGGTGTTTATCGCTTGTGTGATGTCCTAGTGGGGTAGAAAGTCACTCACTCACTCACTAATTAATACTAACTTTCTTATAACTTTGTGTAATGCAATTTTTCGTTATTTGAAGCCCTACTACCCTGGCTCTTACCAGGGGCCGCAATATAGCCCAGCCATAAATATGGCCTAATGGCTGAACGTGGTTTCCGGGTCCTCTCCACGGATGATCCTCATCCACATGGTGACATTTTGTGACATCGGGTGTTAATCGCTTGTGTGATGTCCCAGTGGGGTAAAATGTACTACTACTACACCTTTTGGGAGGGAGGGGGGGAGGGGGGTTAATCCGTAAATAGTCGTCCCCATGTGGGATGCAATTTTTACTTATTTTGAAGCCCCACCCTGGTTTCTGTCATGGGCTCTGAATATAACCAGGGTATAGATATGGCCCAACGGCTGAAAGGGGTTGTCTGCGCCATATGTTTTAGCACTGCACACTATCAAGGGCTTTGAAAAGGTCTGCTGCAGAGCTGATGCGATTAAAGGAGACAAGACTCACGTACTGTCACGACCGGCGATAAAGTCGTCTACCGGCGAGCTAAAGGGTGATGCGGTCGCCGATGATGTATCAGCCACCTTCTCGTTAACAAATTCTCCCAGAGGGACTACAGGTGACTTCGTAATAACCGTTCTGTCGTGCCCCAGCATAACTTGAAGTCAGAAACTTCGTTAAAACAAATTCGCTTAAGACGAACACTCGGTAAACACGAAATGTTGGTCCCTGAAGGTATACATTATATCTAATAAATGTATTAGTTCGTGGTTAACACGAATTCCTTTATCAAGAGATTTTGATTTTTCGTTCGTTTGGAATTCGTCTTAAAGAGGTTTTTACTGTAGTTGCACATCCTTTAGAATTTTAGAATAATGATTCTTATTTAGATAAGACACGCGGACACTCTTATTTTCAAAGGTCTACAAGACCCACATATTTTTTATAGTCATATATAAAATAGCAAATCTATATTAGAATGGCAATAATAATAATAATAATAATAATAATAATAAATAATAATAATAATAATAATAATAAAATAATAATAATAATAATAAATAATAATAATAATAATAATAAATAATAATAATAATACAAATAATATTTATAATAAATAATAACTAACAACCAAAGAGGGTTGAGTTTTTCCCTAAATGATATCGCGGACCACTTACATTTGTTTCACGCACCCACAGGGGCAGGAAACCACCAAACTGGGACCAAGAAAAAAAAATCAATCCTCTTACGGAGGATTCAAACCTGCGGTCTCTTATATAAAAGTCCATTATTCTTAACCGCTGGGCCAGCCGTTGCCCAGGGTTACTTCCACACACGTGAATTCTTCTTCTTCTTCTTCACTTCCTCTTTTACCGCTGTGGGTGTCGAGGGAGATATAAGGTTCTGTTTCTAGCTCTTCTGGCCGCCTCGACCATAGGCACATTGTGCTGTTGTAGAGTTTCTCTGATGTTATCCCTCCATCTTGTTCTTGGTTCTCATTTTGATTTCTGTAGCGATGATAAATCCATTGCCGGCTTGCTAGGCCTGTCGCAACTTCACCAGAGCCCCGTTGGCCAAGACGTTTCGGGGTGACCCAGGGTGGCCTTCATGGCTACCGTAGCGGTCCCGTGGCACGAGGCCACACCATACTTCGCCCACACCTAGCAATCCCCTACTTTGTCCTGTTACCACCTCTCACGACGAGGACGTACACACGTGAATATATGACAATAATCGTTAGATTTTGTGAAGGTAATAATACATCAGTAAATCAGTTTTTGCCTTGCCATGTTTTCCTAGTCGGCTCTGTGGCTAAGTCGATGCGAACGCTTCGTAATGCCGGGATGCCGGGTTCGATCCCAGCCATGTGCCTTGCGTTGGTTTCAACAGTGGTATCAAGAAAGCCGACCATCCAGAGAGCATTGGCAAAATACTAGAAGTAAATTTGCCTGGAAAAACCACACAGGGCTGTTGGGGTTGGTTCTGCAACGTCCTGTAAAGGATACGCAACTAAACCTTATGTTTTCCTAACGGAAAATAATGATAACATTATTGACTTTAGGGACTGTCTGAGAAAATTCTTGAAAAATAAATGACACCTGAACAGTTGAGAATGATATGGCCAATATAAGCAAGCCGCATTTACTTTCTAGGAAATACCTGGTACGTAGTTTAGTTAAGGTCAGTTTTGAAATAATAATTCCACCTTGAAGAGGATTCGAACTCAAAACCTTTACACGGCTACGTTACTGCGACTCCCATGGCCACAAAACATGGACTTTAAAAAGAAATTTCAACATATTATAAGATAGAACGGATGACAATGCACTCGGTTCACGGTGTGCGCACTCCAGAGGCCTGCATGGTGAATGTGAGCGCTTTAATTGGACAACATATCGATTTAAACAAGTCTGTCTTTTTTTTTTTTCCATTGAAACCATGCGTTTTAAGCCTTTTGGCTCAGCACTATCGCAACTTTTCGGCCTTGATTCCATGATATATACTGTACTGACGATTGGTAGACTCCTTTTGTACATGCTTCCCTGTGAAGTTTCTTTTTATTGTAAATCTGGGAAATTCTTTGCCTTTTGTGCCTACCCCGGGCGTGAACTCGGAACACAAGGAGTCTGTCATGAGTTTATTGTACAGAAATGTGGCAGTCATGAACCAAGTAGTTTATCTAAAGCAGCGTTTCTCAATCCGTGGGTCGCGACCCTTTTTGGGTCTAAGGACCCTTTCACAGGGGTCGCCTAAGATTATAGGAAAACACATATTCATTGAAGTTATGAAGTAGCAACGAAAATGATTTTATGGTTGGAGGTCGCCACAAAATGAGGAACTAACTGTATTAAAGGGTCGCCACAACATGAGGAACTGTATTAAAGGGTCGTCACAACATGAGGAACTAACTGTATTAAAAGGGTAGCCACAACATGAGGAACTGTATTAAAGGGTCGCCACAACATGAGGAACTGTATTAAAGGGTCGCCACAACATGAGGAACTGTATTAAAGGGTCGTCACAACATGAGGAACTGTATTAAAGGGTCGTCACAACATGAGGAATTGTATTAAAAGGTCGCCGTATTAGGAAGGCTGAGAGCCACTGATATAAAGTGTCAGAAATATAGAGGTGGACAAATTCGCCAAAGAAAGAATATTGTTGACTATCAGATGTCAGATTTTCCTATGGATTATGGATTCCACGCCACATTGGGAAATAGACCTACTACACCATAACACGAATGTCGTACAGTGCGACTAATTGGGTGTGGTTCTAGTCGAAGTCGAAATGCATCTGCCTGAGAGGCAAGGAACCGACAGTTTGCGAACAAACAAGTCAAATCTGTAAAACGAATCTACGCTCCAAAACTTAAGGTGTGGAACAAGGCCAAAGTCCTGAAGCAGACGAACAACCAGAACGTTTCGCCGGAGTTTACAGCCAATGAAAGCATTGTATTGTGAGCATGGATTTTCATATATAAGTCTCAAATGGAAATAAATAGGCTCACAAACTGAAAAAAAAAAATTGTTTGTTGTGCTGCTAACATACTCTCTACAGTTAGTAGAGAGATCCCAGGTGTGACCAGCTTTTATTCTAATGGAAACCATGCTGGTGATCAGTAAAAGACATGTGACGCACCATAGCCTTCAAAGAGGAGTGTGGCTTTCCTAACTAAGAACTGCTGGTAAGGCTAGGGGAATAAAGAAGAAGAACAAACATTGCGTTTGTTCTCTGTGACCATTACCGTATCATTCCATTTCTGACCATTCACAACGTGAAGTAAAGTTGTACCTTGGTATACGATCCCTTCGAAATATGTTCACCTTGATATACATTCTCTTTAGACCCGAAAATATTTGCTTGGTACCTGACCTTAGTTTGGAATTCGACCTGCGTGCTAGAACTCGAGTGAGTCAAAATTAGTAACGACACTACGCGCAATCACTGTTTAACATTCTCGCGACAAAGCCACGGACAGATGCAAATTATAGTACAGAGAATGATATGATTTGATTTGATTTGATCCAAGAACCGACATCACAGCACCCACCGCATTCCCATAAGCGCTCCGTCTCCATCTTCAGCAGCCAGCGAAGAGTTCCGATACTAATGGTGCCAGTAGCTTTCTGATTAAACGTCCGTCTTGCCTTTCCTCTGAGCTCCCAGCATCTGCCAGAACCTCTCGTCACCCCCAGCTGCATCAATGTCACCAGACTGAGCTGATCCATCTGCTCCTCCGAATTGTACACGCTCTCCCACCACAAGGCACTAACCACGTCTGCCCTATCATGTAGCAGTATTCCACCAAGTTGTGCAGAGCCAGCCAGTCTGTCCGCCTGTTCATTTCCCAACACACCGGCGTGACTCGGTGAAAAAAATGCAGACAATACTCCTCACTCATGTCCTCCGCAGCGAAGCATGCCACTCTGCACGAAGCACACCTGTTCTGATCTTCCTCAGCATGCTTTCTGAATCAGTTACAATCACGATGTGTGTATGTCGTGTTCTCTAGCCAGCGGAAAGCTGCAGTGACAGCCTCCACCTCCATTCTTAAGCTGGATGTTAGGGTATCATATGCTAGACTCTCCTACACCAAACGTCGACCATTAACTTTTGCTAAGAAGCCCTAAGCACTTCTTTTGCCTCTTGGCACTGAACCGTCTGTGTAAATGATCAAATCCTCTGAGCGAGCATTATCTTAAATTAATTGCTGAATTTCCACCTCTGTGGCACCTGCTGGCCAGTCTCTGCATTCCCGGCTCAGCGTGATTATGACTCTAGACAAGTCTGACTTCTCAGGTGGCACTTTGACCCACTCCTCTCCTCGCCTAATGTTCTCAAGGATGCAAACCTGACTGATTGTGACTTCTGCCTGAGCCATCCATGACCTCCCTCTCATCAGCCGCTGACCTTTAACTGCACACAGAGCTTCATGCAGAGGGTGGTCTGTGTCTGCAGCTACCCTGAGTAATGACATTGCCAGCAGCACCGTAAGCCTAACTGCAACCGTCGACAGAGAAATAACACAACAAAGCCCAAAACAGCCGCAATGTCATTGTCTAAAATGAACAGACAACGGCACTTTAACTAAACATCCTGAAGAGAAGGCAGAAGCAAAGTTCTTTGGCCATTTTTTTTAAGTAAAAGTGAAACCTGGTGAACCTGAAAAAGGTCCAAGTAGCAAAAAAGATAAAGGAAAAAGAAAGAGACAAACCACAAAAGTTTCAGATTTCTGAAGTTTTATCGGAAAGTAAGTCTCCTTCTTAACAATAACATCTGGTCCTGCTTTCTTCTCTGTACCATCTAAGTAGGCAATCGGCTCTTCTTTGGAAGGTAAATTGAGTTTAAATTTTCAATTTTTTATAAACATTCAATTGCTTTTGTATTTATGTATTAAAGTATTCGGCAGTATCTACGTTTTTTTATACAAACCAATCAATGTATGATAGGCTAGTAACAATAGGACTTTTTAAATTGGAATGGATCAATCATTCTTCCTCTATTTCTTATGGGGAAATTCGTTTTTGAAATGCGTATTGTTTGGGAGTCAGCGTCTGTGGCCTAAGCATTGAGAACGCGCTTCGTAATGCTGGGATGCTGGGTTAGATCCCAGCTGCGGGCCTTGCGCCTTGCGTTGGTTTGACAGTGGTATCAAGAAGGCGACTGTCCAGAAAGCAATGGCAATCTACTAGACGTTGGCTTCCCTAGAAAACCACAACAGCTAAACATTTCTGCGGTTGGTTCTGCAACGTCATGTAAAGCATTCGCAACTAACTGTTCGGGAGTCACCAAGGTGTAGCGGCTAGATGCTCGCCTGCTGATCGGAAGGTCGTGGGTTCGGGTCCTGATGGAGCCGGACTTTTTTGTTTAAAAAATGACTTTGGCTCCCAGATGGACACAGCCCTGAATGGATACCAGGTGCAGACCTGGGAAGTGAAGGCAGCCAGCGTAATGTTTTTGAAGCTGACCACATCCTCCACCAAGCACCGACTGGTCTATAAAATATAGGTCTAGCCCTATATGCCCAATACGTCTGATGGCGTGGAAACGGGATCTTTAACTTTTACTTACTTACTGTTTGGTATACGTCCAGAATCATAAACGGATTAATTACGTATACCGAGGTACCAGTGTATTACTATACATTGTTTTGACATATATCTAACCCCCCCCCCCTACCCCTGCCCGGCTCTCTAGCGTAGTTGGCTAAACCGGATAGCGCGGTGACCAGGTGACGAACTCCTTGTGGTCCGGGTCACTCCCGGAGGTAGGCAGAAAAGCCACATTTCTCCCAGATTTACGGTATTTATCATGGAATCAAGGCCGAAAGGTTGCGATATCCATAATACCGAGCTAACGGGTAAACAACTCATGGCTTCTGGATACAAAAACAAACAAACAACCCCCCCCCCCCCCCCCAAAAAAAAAAAAATTACACAGAGCAATATATCAGGTCTAACCTGTATTGTAGCTTCACTAGAGCCAGGTCCCACAAGTCCGATAATTGGCTTCAAGTGCTTATTGCCCCTACAATTCGCAGGCGAGTCGTTTCCCCTTGGCAATTGCATCATCACAGTTTCTGATGACGTTGTAATCAGTTTACCGTTAGGACCGGAAGGCGTCGACGTTGAAGGTGGCACTGATGGATTCGCGTTGTTGATGTTGGATTGACTAGCAATGGCGTCTTTGATGAAATCAATGCTGTTTTCCAGTGCGATTGGAGAATACCAGCACGAATCTCTGATGTCCCATCCTAGTTTGACGTGTGGAAGGATTAAAGGATTTCTGTAGAGTAGAACAACACACCTCATTAATAAATTGATTAACGTTCAACCCCACCAGGACAGCTATAAACACCCGGTGACATAAAGTGCCACCATTCAGATAAGGATCACTCGGGGACAGGTTCCAGAAACCCCATTCCACCCATAGGTTGGATTTTTTTAGGATTCCCTCAAGAAGATGTAAATTAATATCATTGAAACCTTTAATGTAGCCAGTCTCTAGTACAGCTGGCTATATTTTGTCGCCCTGAGAATGTCCCCGCCCAGTGCAGCTGCACATGTTGCACACTGCGTAACGGTGTAACGTGAGGAAATGTGAGGGCTTCTGAACTGGAAACAGCAGAGAGTAATCTACTGCGATCTCACCCATCACTGAGCTACCACTACAACTGCTCTATACTAGTCCTATATAAAATGATGGAGACAGCTGGAGAAGGCCAAAGGGAGACTACAGTCCGAAGAGTACAGTAAAGGACCCTTTTCCATGCCATCGGGCGTACTAGGCGTATACGACTAGTTCTATATGTTATACACCAATCGGCACTCAGTGGGTGATGTGATCAGCATCACACCGGCCGCATTTACTTTCCAGGACTTTACCTGGTACCTATGGGTCATAAAAACGTCAGGCTTCGGCAGAAACAGCATGAAGAGGGACGCAGTTAAAAAACTTAACACAAAATAAAAATTAGTCATTTGTAGGCTTTGGACTGTACTCTGTTTTCTCAAAGCACACCTACATACAAAAGGCATGACATAGCCTATCATACGTGGCCGGACCACACAGACAAACTCTCTAGTATGTATTTCAGGACTTCCTTATCTACTCCAAGCAGAGATTGGTGATCTGACCCAACGGAGCTATAGTGAAAGTGGAGCTCTTGGTACTGGAGGGTACCTGAAGCGCACGGTACTGTTCGTTACCCAATAGGACTACCTGTTAAGCATGTGTATTGAAAAACGCAGAAGAAGAAGAAGAGGAGGAGGAGTAGGAGAAAAAAGAAGAAGAAGAAGAAGAAGAAGAAGAAGAAGAAGAAGAAGAAGAATAGAAGAAAAAGAAGAAGAAAAAGAATTAGAAGAAGAAGAAGAAATATATGTTGATCTTGAAGAAAATATGGATCGAGAACAACCTTAGACAAGAAAAGTCCAACTTGGCGCATTAGAAACAGCACATGGTAAATGTTTACAAATCCCTTTCCACATAAATTATAATGCCATTCAAACTACTTACGCTGGATTGTCCTTTATAAATGATTTTGCTTTTGCTAATTTTCAAAAAATTTTGACGGACAATCTCGTATTATAAAAAACATTGAGGATCTCAACCTTCCTAATGCTGCGACACTTTAATACAGTCCTCTTATGTTGTGGCGACCCCCAAACAATTATTTTCCTTCATAACTTCAATGAATATGTGTTTTCTGATGGTCTTAGGCGACCACCGTGAAAAGGTCGTTCGATTCCCCCCCCCCTTTTTTTCCAAGAAAAAAGGGTCACGACCGGCAGGTTGAGAACATCTGTATAAACAAAAGGATGACATGGTTAATAGTAGACTTTGATGGTTCAAATCTGGTATTAGAAGGGACAATGTACACGGATTCTTGTACTTCCGTCGAAAGGATTTATGTTTTGTGCTTCATCATATGTTGATGTATTCTCTGTTGTGCTGTAACTAATGAGGTACTTCGAAATATACCGGTCAATAAATTGTGCAATGTTTTGTTGGTGACTTCTTTATTTCTTTCTTCCCAAATGTAGATCAATAGACGATATCAAACAGTCTACACATTTTTGTCATCACCATAAGTTTTTATCTTCATATAACATAACATTAGAAACATCTCGAAGATACATTGTCCAAGCACAGTTGGGCACAAATATATCATGCAAAACTAGCGCAGTATATTACCCCAAAACTGTCAACATATGAAAATAGGAGCTCAGTGCCAAATCCTATCTCAAACAACCCATCTCCAAAGACAAATACGGCAGACGAACAAAAGAACGGATATGACGATTACAAATGCCGCCCCAGAGTTCTGTGTCACGGCCAGGTTCCGGTAGACCGGCTTGCATATTTATGAGGGATCAAGATGGTTGGTGTTTGTGACGTCTGATTGGTTGTTTGTTCCTACACATACGTGGATGGGACACCGGAAATAACGGACTTAACAAGGTTGGTGTCGAGCTTGTCGCCAAATAATATTTATTAAATAGACGGAACTCTGTAGAAGGACAATTACCATAAATATATGATATGAAAGATTACCACACTGTTTAAATATGGAGCAGTTACCGGCTGTAAAGACAAACAATGACTTGTGTAGGCTACGAAGAGTGAGTGATGTTTAACCGCACTAGGACCGCACAACCAGCGACTAATACCCGGTGACACAAAGTGCCCACATTAGGATGGAAATCAGCAGGATTTAATTAATAGAAACCCCGTTTAACAGTTAGGTTACAACAGGGCCATCTGATGACAGCCGGGGTGGGGGCTTTGAAATAACAAAAGATTGCGTCCCATACTGGAATGGAATGCGGCGTCCGTGGCTTAGGTGTTGCGAGTGCGACTCGTAATCCAACGTACGCGATCGAAACCCACTGCTGGCTGCGTGGATTTTTATCATGGTATGGGGCGTCGCAGGTCGACCCAGCCTAAAATGGGTACCAGGATGGCTGTCCTGTGGAAGTAAAGACGGCCGGCGTAATGCTGACCACATTACCCATCAAGTGCCGATTGGTCTGTAAAAATATGGGACGCTCTTCCCATAAACCCGATGCGCCTAAGGCGTGAAAAGGGATCTTAACTTTACTTTTCTTACTGGAATGGAAAATAATGTAAAATGTGGTTGTGCACTGAGCGAGCTGCATGCGGTTAAAAAGTGCTACCCAGCGCTAGTTGTTCGGGATTTCTGCTCCAGTGGAAGTTAAAGAGCAAAAGAAGAAAATATTATAATTATCGACGAGCCATTTGGCCTAAACTGATAAACATTTTACACAGAAAGTGTAACAATGAAGGTGCAGTGTGGTCTAGCATCTGATTTGCTATTTAAAAAAAGTTCTTGTAACATACCATAAATGCACTTGTCGGAATGTGTGGCTTAGGCGTTGCGAACGCGCTTAGTAATGCCGGGGTGCTGGGTTTGATCCCAGCTGCTGATGCTTAGTCTTGTGTTGGTTTCGACAGTTGTACTAAGAGCTGACCGTAAAATTTGCCTAGAAAAACCACCACAGAAAAATTCTGCAACGTCCTGTAAAGGATACGCAACTAACTTTTAACACAAGCACATTGTTACATTCTTTTCTTATTGTTACAGTATCTCATTGTGAATATATTCTCGTGTGGGTTCTGGACTTCATTGTAAGAAAAACCAGAATAGACCGACTGCCTCCCCAGAAAGCATGCCATAAGTGTGGACTAATTGGGAATTTGCTTGAATTTGGAGTACATCTGACTGAGAGGCAATGAACCAACAGTCTGCATACAAATATGTAGATCTGTAAAACGGATGCGCACACAATACTCACGTTCTGGTCTAGGTTGAATAAACAACCAGAACATGTCGCCGGAGTTTTCAGCCGGTGAATGCGAAGAAAAAAAAAAGGTTTTGAATATCTTCAACGAAATATGTATAGGAAATGATATGGAGTTTAAATTTGCTGACATCAATGTCTACGTCCTTTCCCCCCTACACCTGCATGGAAACAGTCCTTACTCTGAGATAAATCCCACAAACTGTCTTGAAATGAACATGCATACAATTTGCTGAACTATATACTATACAAATGTATAGTAAAGTATACTTTAAAGAAGTATTACCACCCAAAAAAAAAAAAAAAAAAAAAACATGCACCCTTAATGCTTAAAAAAAGGCCGATTTAAGAACATCGATGCACGTGTATAACTATAATTAGTTTTGAGGCTTCTCTGCCAGTCTTGCAGGTCATCAAAGAACAACAAATGAAATGGTTTGGACACCTAACAAGAATGCTATGGTACTATCTGCCACAGCGAGCCACACTAAGACGTTACCACGGGTATAGAGCGAGTGAAAGACCTCGGAAAATATGGAGTGATGGCATTAAGAACAGCCTTACAGAAATGAACATCAGTTTTAATAGTGCTCTTGACAGAGCTCATCAACGAACATTACATCTCCCACCGACACTTCGATGATGTACAAGGTGCAAGAGAAGAAGAAGACGAAAAAGAATCTCTTCCAGGGTATACTAATACTTCCACTCGTTCTTGTGTCTCAAACCTGCTTGGACGATATTTTCAGACTAAAACTCAAGGAGCATACAAATATTTATTTCATTTATTAGCAAGCCACATATAACATTTTAAATGCCTATGAACATATAAGGCCATATGTTTAGATCCGCACAATGATTGCAAACATAATAAATGCAGTTTAAAGGGCTCCCATTTTTAGGCGAACTATCAAAATGGGAAATTGATCCCAATTCAGTAGTAGAAGTACACTTCACCCCACCAGGTCATAACACAAGAGTTAAACACCCGATGACACAAAGTGCCACCATGCGAATAAGGATCACCCGTGGAGAGGTCCTGGAAACCGCGTTCAGCCATTAGGCCATATATCGGCCCTGGCAAGAGCCAAGGTAGGGCTTGAAAATAACTAAAAATTCCATCCCACAAAGGGATGACTAGTAGGTATTCACAGATATTGCTGCCAAGTTCAGGACTCTCATTTATAGGAATAACGGAAATTGCTGTCAAAAGGTGAGTGAGGTCACAAACCAGCCATGTTTAAATAAAAATAAAAATAAATTCAAGGGACACAACTACAACTGTCATTACAAAATATGTTAATAAGCCGGTTAAAAAATCTGGAATGGAGATATCCACATAGTCAAGCTGACAAACAGACGTAGACACAAATTTAGACAAACACACATAAAGAAACTCACATAGACAAACATACAAAGAAAAACACACGCTCAAGTAAACATAACAATATTTGAAATACTGTT